CAGCTCTAATGCGCAGGCTGCTCATCGCGGCCACTTCCTTTATTTCTGGAAGGCTCTCTGTAATTACAAAGCATCCCCATTTCTCTGTTCCCCACTCCTTTCTCCTGGTCCAGCACTGCTAAGCCCCGCCCTCCCCTCGTTGCCAGCACCCCCTCTGGCGCCCTTTGCACCCCGCCCCCCTGCTGGCAGGCTTTCTGCTTCTCTCAATGGAGTTATTCACCTCGTCTCCACTTTAAGTGCCCCCTCCCGTCCAGAACGAAGAAAAGCAAATAGCTATCTTCTCCGTTTCTCTAGAATGAGTTCCGCCTCCCCACTCCCCTCACAGCTGATTTGAGTCCAATTATAGCCTATAAAACACCCCTCCAGGTCAGTCCGCCTTGATCTAACCAGCCGCAGCTCTGAAGTGCTGTTTCACCACCTCACCCGGTGAGTCAGGTTATGACCCCAGCCTTCTTAGACTCGTGCCTGCATTGCATTTTAAATGTGTTCCATTTAAAATGTGTCCAATTTGCCAAGTCCCAACCTACTTTATTTAGGCTACCAAATACATTCAGTGACACCGGCCACCTTCCTCAACCAGTTTCTTCCTTCCTCGTCCATGCTGTTTCTCATCCCCATCCCCTCTTTTCTACAATTAGAGTTCCTTTCCTCTTCTCCTCCAACCTAGGAGCTACGGGCCACACACCCACACCTTACGCCCCCCCCATACACACAACCCCACACCTCACACACACACAGCTGACACCTCCTCAAACGCACACCTCCCCACCACACCTCTCCACACCCACACCTTCCCACACACATACACCACACACCTGACCCCTCCCCGCGCGCGCGCGTGTGCACACACACACACACACACACACACACACACACACACACACACACCTCAGCTCTCAGCTACAAGCTATAAACAAAATAAGGGGTAAGACTGACCACCTGCCTAAACTCCTCTTCACACTTACTTTCAAATGTCAGCACTTTCCCGGTGTCCTGTCCTGTCATATGTTATTTGGTTTGTTTGCTGGCTGTGCTGTGTTTGTAAAGGTCTTATGTGACCTGTAGATGTCATCTTGTGTCTCAAATGCAATCTAAATAAATAAGGCCACTTCTAAGATTATGGCTTATTAGACACCTGATTTTTAATATGTGCACATGTATGTATTAGTTTGTATGGATTTGTATGTGTACCTAAACTGTTGTGGCGTTCGAATCCACTGGAAGAAATGGGTATCAGCCCAAGACACCCCAAGACAAAAATTCTCAACACGAAGGAGATTTATTTGCCCCAGAGGGATAAGGGACAAAGATGGGAGATAGAGGATGAGGAAGCAGAGGACGGGAACAAGGGAAAGGGGACAGAGGTATTTGTCCCAGAGAGACCTGCCTCTGGATAGAGAGGAGGCAGATGTGACCCATAGGCAAATGGCAGTTTATAAAGGGAAAAGGGGAAACCCCTTGTTAGGATGAGGTGTTTAATTTTGATTGGACAGGTTAATTAGGGAAGCCAAAGGGGACTTTTGATTACTAGACATCAATTCTTTGATAGCTGGACCTTGATAGACAGCCTCACAAGGAGGAAGTGGCCAAATAGGGAATAGACCTTGATTGCTTAGCTTTAGGAATGTGACCTAATAATTTTTAGCAAGGCAGAGGGAATAGGGGAAGGGCAGGCCAGCCAGCGCCATGTTTGCCATGCTTGGGCCTGCTAGAGTCCCTTCACTTAATCTCAATTCAAGTTTAGATTAAATGAATATATTCTTACTGCTACCAGAAGGACAGCAGCCTGAGTACCAAACAGCAAGCTGTGTGGAAGTGGGAGCTAAGCTGAAGTTTGAAGGCAGACATCAGAAAGCTGTGCATCACAACTCTCTATAGAAGCCACAGCTAGGCAGGAACATTGTTTTGCTTACCTCGGTTATTTCTGACTTTGCCAATATATAGTACTAAAAAGACCATTCCATCCCTTTCCCACAACCATAAACAAGTTTTACAGAAGCAAAGGCGTCTGTTAATCATCACAGTCCATTAGCCTATTCTTACCTAACCTGCTCGTCACTAGGATCTCCCAGGCATCCCAGAGCAAACAGGGATGTCTGTCTCCACATTAAATTTCTTGAGTCATCACAGGGACTTTTGTAAGTTATTACTCAGTCAAACCACTTGAGTGACTGGGATAGAGCAGTTCTTTTCTGGGCAGGCAATAACACAGTGCCATCAGGTTAGGGCTGGCTGTCACATCCCCACAAACATTTTAAGGTGACTTTGTTTTGTTTTTTTAAACAGGGTTTCTCTGTATTGTTTTCAAGCCTGTCCTGGCACTCACTCTGTAGACCAGGCTGGCCTCAAACTCACAGAGATCTGCCTGCATCTGCCTCCTGAATGCTGGGATTAAAGGCATGTGCCACCACTACCTGGCTTGGTTTTTTTGTTTGTTTGTTTTGTTTTGATGAGGTGTGTGTGTGTGTGTTTGTGTGTGTGTGTGTGTTGTCTGTGAGTGTTTTGCTTGAATGTTTATACACTATATTTATGCCTGTGGAGGTCAGATGAGGGCATTGGATCTCCTGGAACTGGAGATACAGACAGTTGGGAGTTCCATGTGAATTCTGGGAATTGAACCTCTGTTCTCTTTCAGGAACAGTAAGCTTGCTTGCTCACCTGCTTTCCTGTTTCCCTTCCTTTTTTTCCTTCCTTACTTCCTTCCTACCTTCCTTCTTTTCTCTTGCTTTTGTTTTTGTTTTTTGGGACAGGGTTTCTCTATGTAGCCCTGGCTGTCCTGGAACTCACCCTGTACCAGGCTGGCCTTGAACTCACGGAGATCCGACTGTCTCTGCCTCTAGAGGGCAGGGATAAGCATTTTTTAAGGAAAATATTTTATTTACTTACTTACCCCCAGTAGTTTGTAAGCTAATTAAAAATGCTTTGTTTGTTTGTTTATTCAGAGTTTCTCTGTGTGGCCCTGACTGTCCTGGTGCTCACTTTATAGGTCAGGTAGGCTCAAAGGTCCATCTATCTCTGCCTTCCAAGTGCTGGGATTAAAGTATAAAAACACATACTATTTGAGTTGGATCTAACCTGACAGCCTCCTTCCCAAAGTCTAGCTTCCATGGTACTAGAAAACACTATACAAGCTGCCAAGGGAGAGAGGCATTTATAGTCCTACCCAGCTGTGACACCTATAAATGCCAACAATAGACAGCATAGTCAGAAATCCATAATGGTACAATAAATCTTGCTCACATGTTGGTGCTAACCAATCTCCGTCTAATTGAATTTAAGGCCCACTCAACAGGATGGAACTTATGCCTGGTACTAGAAACCTACTCAGCTTCCCAGGGTTAGTGATGATCTTAGAAGAAAATCTACTACCACCACTTTGCAAGGTCAGCATAATTCCTAACTGCATTCTCAATCTTACCCTTATACCCACTGATAAATGTAGCGCTCTCTCTCTCACCACATCAAATAAGCTTCTCTTTACAGCAAATGGAAATCATCAGAGAAACCCATAACAGGGACAATGCAGAAATCAACGGATAGTGAGGGCTCCAGCTCCAATAGATACAGCTACATCACAGCTCCAGGATCTATGGCTCAGGGAACATGAGGAAGAGACAGACTGGAAATAAGAGCGGGAATAACCAGGAAGTCTGATGTGAAACAATGTATCATAGAAATGGTTGCACAAATAAGATCTGAACAATGGCAAAATCAATAGATATGCTAGCAGAGAAATCTCACGTGGCTCCACCCCTAACAAAGAACTACAGGCAATTAATGACTTCTGGGAGAGGGAGAATTAACCTCTCCCAGGGATGAGACTCCTTAGTGGTTACCCAACACAAAGTGATCATTCCTGGAACCATATACACACAAACAGCAAAAATAGACTCAGCAGTTATAATGTATTTATGTATATATATATACATACATATATATATACATAATTTTTCAAAAAGAGGCTATCAAATCAAGGAGAGGTGTGGAGCTAGGTGGAGGAGTCTTTGAAGGAACTGGAGTAAGGAAAGGGAAGTAATTATATTTTAATTAATTAAACTGTATTAACATTTTATTTTAAATAGTATGGGACACTACAGAGCTAGCAGTTTCAAACATAGTACTGTCGCTAACATGAATCCCTATTTAAGCAGAATGAGAACGGTATACACAAAAGCATGTAAGAGTCAGAAGGGAATAACTACTAAAGCCAAAAGAACCTTCAGAGGAAGAAATTAATAACCTGGAGAGTAAATCCAGGAACCCATAACAATTAAGTTTCAAACCGAGTTCTAAGAACAAGTAGGACTTCAAAGAGTGGCTAATGAGCCCACGAAGCCTGCAGAGGACCTTACCAAAGGCACAAAGACCTCTCCCCCCCCCCCAGGAAACAGAATGCAGACTAGAGGACCCGCACACATAGGGCAGGTACCTATGATGAGCACGGTATGCTCAGCTAGCAAGATGCCACAAGAGGACAAGTCATTGCAGAGGTGACAGTAATAATTGCATGTCCCCAGAGACTTAGAAAATTCTGAATAAAGGTGTTAAGAAAACGAGGACATGCAGGAAGGATCCCAATGTTCCACTGTCCTAGTGTGGTTCAGTCGACTACAGTCCAGCAGAGAATCCAGCCGGCAGATGGCTGAGCAGCGCCCCACAGAGGCCACTATTGTAGCAGAAGAGCCCTAAGAACTACAACTCCCAGAGTGCCTCGGGAGCACAAACTACAACTCCCAGAGAGTCCAGGGAGCAACACTCTCCATAGTTTCCTCCGGTCACCCCTCTTACTGTCTTCAACCCGACCCAGCCGGACACCTGGCACGTGACCCCCGCGTGAGTGAGGACGCTCCAGCCAAGAGTCCCTGGAGGCGGGGCTCGAACCTCATTGCTAGAAAGGAGACCCCAAAGGAAGAAACTGATCTTGACAATCTCGGAGTGATTGGAGTTGATGGGACGGGAACAGAGCGAACTAGGCTGCTGACCAATCAGCGTTCAGGGCAAGGAAAGGGGCGATGGTTCTTCGGTCACATGCCGCGGGGTCTAGTGGGAGGAGCAGTTGCTCAGCAGCCTCTCGCCGCTTCCTGTTTCCGGTTTTTGGAGCAGGGAGCAGAGCGACGCTTTGGGGAGCGCTGGCCTCAGACAGGAACGGAGGACTGGGGTCTGCGGCCCGCCGCTCTCTGGCCGCGTGTCCCAACCCCAGGGCCACACTCTTGGGGGCTTCTTACCTTCAGCTGCTGCGTTTTCCGTGACACGTGAGTGTGGGGGGCGTGGAGGAGGAGGTGGGCCGGGGTCCTTGCGCCAAACGAGTTGCAGTCCTAGAGTCTTGCTCGGTTGGTTCTAGCCGAAGACCCGGCTAGGGAGCCGTAGAGCCCAGAGGAGACGAAAGGCGGGAGGACGGAGAGCGTCAGACTACCAGGAGTGAGGACTTCCAAGATCAGAAAGGGATTTAAGATGTTTTGAAGGTGGGGGAAATTAAGTGCCACGTGGGAGACGTGAGAAGTGTTACTGGGTGCTTGTTGAAAGAATTTTGACCTGTATCGTGGAAGTAAAGGGGCGTCGTGGCATCATTGGCTAAAGTATGGCTTTGAGCAAATGGAAGGCAAGAATTCCCAGGATCCTGGAAGAAGTTCGAGGAACATGTGTTAGCTTGGTGTGGAAAAGAGTAACAGAGGGATTAGCTATGTTTCTTCGTTTGAAGCCCAGAGCTACTTCCCTGAGGCTCGTTCAGCGTTGGGCCGTTTCTGCCAGTTCATACTGATCTTAGAAGGGTCGAGGAGGAAGAAGCTAAAGCCTTCCATTAAAAAATGGAAAATGGCCATGAGTGGGATAGTGTGAGGATAAATGGTGTCTGCAGTTTCCCAATCCCTAACTTAGTCATTGGCTGTCCTGTAAAGGAGAATGTTTCAGCATTACCAATAGATCTGTTTCTGTAGAGTAAGGAAATAGAAGGATTTCAAGCTCATAAGATCCTGTGTCACACATTGAAAATGTGTGCACTTTGAGGATCTGTTTGTGGCATATTAAAAAGGGACTTCCCAGCTTGAATTCCATACTGTTCTCTCCGTGTGCCTATGTTTATCAGAAGTTTGCCAACAAATGCCTTTGTGTCATTAGTCATCTAGGTTGCGCTAGGAACTTCAACCATTTAATATTTGTATAACCCAGAACAAGTAACTCGGGGCATCTGTAAGCCTCGGTTCCCTCGTCTTGCTTTTCCAAGATGCAGAACTAACATAATGAACAAAAGCATCTGTGATATACCCCACACTGAATCAAAAAGAAGCAGCTCAAACTTACAGTCAAATCTTTCTCTTGGTTTTTCCAGACAGAGTTTCTCTGTGTCTTTCTGGCTGTCCTGAAACTCTAGCTCTGTAGACCAGACTAGACTTGAATTCAGAGACCCTCCTGCCTCGGCCTCCCAGGTGCTGCAACTAAAGGCATGTGTCACTACCGCCCTGCTTACAGTCAAATCTTAAGCTAGAAAGAATATAAAATCAGTCCTCTTTTTGGACAAATAAGCAAATGACAAGTCATTCGGTTTATCCAATGTCTACCACAGCTTGTTTTAATTCTCATCCCTTCCCAGTTCTGTGAAGTTTTTTTGCCCTCACTTGGGAAGAGAAAGCAGCAACAGTTAACAAATGAGGAACCAACTTTGAGGCCACAGTGCATGCCGAGCATTCATTCTGTGAGAGAATCCCTCCAAAATGTGCTCCTGGGGAAAAAAGAGCTTCGGAACCCAGACTGTTAACGCGTTCAATTCGATCCTAAGAGAACTTAAGGAAAACGGCGCAGAGTTAGTTAACAAAAGGACCTCTCACTCCCAGTGATTTGACTGGTTAAGCTATGTGTTGAGCAATAGGTGAGTTTAGGGAAGGCAAGAGCTTAAGCCTGAGCAGTCCTTACACTCTAGTTAACTCTGTGAGGAGTTGCTCCTCTTTCCTGCTTTGTTTTAAAAAAAAAAAGAAAGGCAACTGTTCTTTGGCTTCTACTGCCATCCCAAAACAATTATGAAAGATGTATATGATGACACGTAGAACTTGAGCTCTGGAGCCATTTATCTTGCTTACTCCATTAGCTGTGTTGTTGGTGTTTTTTGTTTGTTGTTTGATTTTTAATCTGTGAAATAGAGATGGTTAAATTTACTACATAAGGTCTGGGGAGGATTGATTAATTGATGCATGTTAAGTATTTCAGGTAATACCTGGCTGAAGGCTGTCACTGTTAATGTGTTTTATAGTTCAGATGTGTTAGAGAGCCTTTGGCCTCTCTTGGCCACCAGTGAGTACTGTGTGGAAATGCCTTGTTTGTGTTTCTGTAGTTTGAGGTTTGGGGTATGTAAGGTCAGGTAGATAAGTTCCCAAGCATTTGTTACCTTCCTTGCACATGGGAAATAGGAACTCAGATTAAGTTTCAGGGAGAAAGGGAAATCCAATTAGATCACAAGGTTGGAGCATCCATTTTCTTGTCATAAGGACAGTCTGCAAGAGTTAAATGTCTCAGAAAAAAAACAGTGAAACTGAAATAATGAACAATGTCAGTGGCCTGAAGGATTACTGATAGATAGGAGTGAAACTTTCCGCAAGCTATTGCCTAGTTATGAAGATGATACAGGGATATCCAACTTTTCAACATAGAAATATGACATGGTCATCTACAAACATGTAGGGCTGCATTCACAGATAACCTGAGGGTGTGTCTCATGGGCCATACATAGACCTGTTAGAATAGTACAGACAGTAAGTAAATATAGCAGTGTAGAACTGTAGAGTGTAGAAGGACAGCCATCTTGCGGAAAGTCTAAAGCCCTTGAGATCTGTGACCTGGAGAGGCTGGGGTGGGTTTTGGAAGACTTCTAAGCCCTTGTTTTGACCCAGTTAGGTTCCTTCTATGATTGGGTGGTTTTCCCAGGGAAATGATGTATAAGTAACTGAGGTGAGTTGAGGTGCTGTGCCTATTTCACCACATCTCACATGCTTCCAATGAATGTGAAGAAAGATTGCTGGATGCTCCCAGAACACTGCTATGTTAAAGTTCCTTCCTCTCCTGCACATCTTTCCATTAACTTCGAGCAGGACATATTGGAGGATCTGTTTGTACCATGATTGGAGCATTTTAGTGAAGGCCACACTATTTGTAAACTAGTATTTAACTTTGAATAATGGAGTAGTACAATGGAAATTTTCATCAAGCAGTAAGAAAGCAAAGATGGTTGCACCCAAACTATCATAATTATTTTAATTTTCTTACCCCCAAAGTTTGTTTTGTTTTGTTGGGTTTTTGTTTTATGGAAGTTTTTGAGACAGAGTCACTCACCATGTATCTCTTGCTGGCTTCAAGCTCACGGAGCTCCATATGCCTCTGAGGGCTGAGATTTGAAACATTTGATACTACGTTGGACATAGTTTTGAAGCAGATTCATGCTTTTTGTATGCATAATCAAAATACCATTAATTTTTGCAGTCATGTGATTTATGTTTTCTTTCTCTCCGGAACCTGCCTTCACCTTCAATGTCCTCTTCCAAAAGGATGCTCCCCTTCTCTGGCTGTTGGAGGACTGATCTGTTCCTGTTGCTAGTCCTGGCTTTGGCTGTGAGTGAATCCTGGCAGGCAGAAGAAAAGTCTTGTGACCTGATAGGAGACAATGATAAGGAGTCAAAGCAAGAGCAGGCTCTCCTGGAGAGGCTACGGCCACTGTTTAACAAAAGGTAGAGGGGAAGAGCCTTAAAGTGCTGTCTTTACTAGGGGTTGTTTCTTTTTACTGACTGGACTTGAGCTTCAGTGTGGAAGGAGTGCATGCCCAATATGGATTCTAACCTGGATTTTGGCAGTGTTAGTTTTATTTGATTATAATACATTGCCCCCTTAGCAACAGACCAAATTCCCAGCCATGTGATCATGTGTGTTTTTCTTATCTTTCACAGAAAAATAACCATTTCTAATGACTGGCTCTAAAACATCAACTTGTAGAAACCAGAACATGACTTGATAGCTTCATATCTTAAGACTTTAGAAACATCAAACAGACATACTTAAGATATGCATATCTAAGTATGTCTTCATCACTGTCAGGGGGTCTTCAAATATAAAAATGGTCCTTAAGCATAGGACTGTCCCTTGCTGTAGTGAAATAGCCAACACTTTTGCATAGCTACAATAGGTATGCTAGAATGTGTAGCTGTTTGGGGTGGTATATTTATCAGCAAGTAGGACAGTCTATGGAGATGTAAATAACTCATAAGTCAACAAATAAGCATTTTGTACATTGGTTGTCATCAAAAGGAGGGATGTGGTTTTTCCTGTTTTGGTAACTAGTGATATTGTTCTTTCTCTCCCTACTTGTCTTCTGCAGTTTTGAGAGCACTGTGGGCCAGGGCTCAGACACATACAGCTATAGATTCAGAGTATGCCGGGAAGCTGGCAACCACTCCTCTGGGGCAGGCCTGGTGCAGATCAACAAAAATAATGGGAAGGAGACGGTGGTCGGGAGAATCAACGAGACTCACCTCTTCAATGGAAGTAAGTATTTCCTGCTGACTAATCCCACGGCAGTCCTCTAACAATACTGTATGTGTTGGCCTTTCCCCAACTTTTTGAGTGTGTCATGTGATATGGAATTTGCTCTACCTGGACTGTACCTCAGTGCCTGGTTCCACAGCTGGTCTGGAGGCACAGCTCAGGACATCTCTGTTTAAAGATAGTGCAAAACTTTAACAAAAAGAATATAAAATTGGAGAAAAGGGTCAGGGTAAAACATTTGCCCACATGCACAAAGTTCTGGCTTTGACCCTTAAAGTCACAGAAAGAAAGATGGAAGGAAGGGATAGAGGGGGAAACTGAATGAATGAAAGGAATATGAATCTGCCAGAATTTTACATAGCCTGGAGTCCTTCTAGTCACCCAAATATTTAATGAGTTTCATACCAGCCACCACCATTTCTCATCAAATTAACCACATTTGCCAGTTGAATTTTAAAGTGCCTCTTTATACTAACCAGTAAGTATTTAAGGTAAAAGAAATTCACCACCTACTTGTACTAACATAGTTGTGTTTTTCAAATGTCATGAAAGTGTATGCTGGAAGGGAGCACTTGTGGCTTGATTTCTTCCCATAAGCGGATAAATTATTATATGTAAACAATAAAATAAAATATGCTAGTGCATTCTTGACCCAAATCATCATTTTCCTAGTATGGTGGTATCTTAGCCATTGTTCTGTGGTTGTGAAGAGACACTATGACCAAGGCAACTGTTATAAAGAAAGCATTTAATTGGAGGCTTGCTTACAGTTTTGGCAGTCCACTGTCACCACAGAGAGGAGCAAAGCATGGCAACATGCAGGCAGACATGGAGGTAGAGAAGAAGCTGAGAGTTCTACATCCTGACCCATAGAGAGACTCTCCTGACCTGGGCTTTTGAAACCTCAGAGCCCACCACCAGTAACACACTTACTCCAGCAAGGCCACACCTCCTAATGCCTACAATCCATTCAAACAATTCCACTCCTTGGTGACTGAGCCTTCAAATCTATGAGCCTGTAAGGGGCCGTTCTTACTCAGACCACCACAGGTGATTGTGAGGCACTAGCTCACTGGTTATAATCTCAAATGCAAAGTTAAAAGCATCCTTACCTATTCATTTCACATGGTGGTTAGTCAAGCAAGATTTTGCAAAGAACTTGAAAAGTAGTAAATACAAAGGAAGAGAGATGTATTCCCAACTCAGTAAACATCCACTTTGAATTTATCTATGTTATCTTGGACTAGCTTCATCCGGGACCTCCTCTCCTTTTACTGTGTTGAGAAAATGTGCATTACTGTTAAAAGCACAGATAACTGTTTTTACCCGTTCTGTTGCCTACCTTTAATGTAAAAAATAGGATTAATCTTAAGTTATCTATTTCTTATTGTCTAAAACAAGAAAACACAAAGTTTTATCAAGAAACAAGTTTTAAGGCCAGGCATGGTGGCTCATGCCCCTGTGACTCCCAAAACTTGGGAGGCATAGGTAGGAAATGACAAGTTTGAGGACAGCCTGATCTATGTAATTAGTGAATTAAGGCCAGCCAATGCTACATAGCAAAACTCTTGTCTTTTAAAAAAGAGTTTTAGCTTAGCATTCAGTTGTATAGATCATACTAATTAACATTAATTAAAAGCAATTTTGGTAGCTAATTCCACTCTGCCATACCCATTGTTGCCTCTGCTTCCTCTGCACTCCATATTGTCATTGTTTTTGTCTTTCCTCAGGTAATTGGATCATGCTGATATATAAAGGGGGTGATGAATACGACAACCACTGTGGCAAAGAACAGCGTCGAGCCGTGGTGATGATCTCCTGCAACCGACACACATTAGCGGTGAGGTCCCCTGGGGTGTAACAGATTGAAAGGTCAGATGGGGTGGGGGGCACAAGTCTGTGTGAAGTGGATGTGAGAAAACTAACTGAAATTTTCAGTATGCCAGATTCGCACTGTACATGAAGAATGGGCCACATGGGCTACTTAACCAGGAGCAAATGTTTGGGGCTTATTTATGGAGGGGTGGTCTTGTTCTTTGGATGCAAGCTGAAAGAAAACATCTTATACATAATTACTGTTTGGTCCTCTCATCATCAGGGCAATTTTAACCCAGTGTCTGAGGAACGAAACAAAGTCCAAGATTGTCTGTACCTCTTCGAGATGGACAGCAGTGTAGCCTGTTCACCAGAGGCTTCTCACCTCAGTGTAGGCTCCATCTTACTGGTCATGTGAGTACTTTCTGCCTCTTCAGTATGTGTGTATTCTACATACATAAAATCACAGGGGACTGACTCTAAAGTAAGTCCAGACAAGATGAAAGAAATTAAACTGGGGGATGTAGCTTGGTGGCATAGTACTTGATCAGTATGCATGAGGTCCTAGGTTTAATCCCTGGCAGTGGCAAAAAACACAAGGAAAAAAGCAAGTTGTGGAGACAATCTCACTATGTTGCTGTGTCTGGCCTCAAACTCAAGAGCATCACCTGCCTCTGCCTCCCATGTGCTGGGGTTAATGGTGTGTGTCTGACCAGACCTGGCTTTTTAAAACTTAAAGCAATTAAATGCTTAGTCTCAGGAATATTTATATTTGGAGGTGCATTGTTTTTCCTCTTAATGAGACAGGGTCTCACTTTGTAGCTCTGGCTAGCCTGAACTGAAATCACTATGTAGACTTAAGGTGGCCTCAAACTCAAAGATCCCGTAGCCTCTGCCTCCAGAGTGCCAGGACTAAAGGTGTACACCACTATACCTGGCTTGTGTTTTCCCAGGAAGGCTGGACAGTTTTTAGTACAGTACTGTCCTATTACGTCAGTAGAACTTTGAAGTAAGGGAATAGAATGTGTTTAATGGTGATTCCTGGCAGTTAGAATCACTACCAAGTCTTCCCCTGGGTACCAGATTCCCCTCCTCCCACCCCCCTGCCTGGAGTGTTTCGGTCAGATTGGCAGTGTTCCTAGCAGGTTTTCTAAGTACCAGCTCTTGTTTTGCTTTCATAGAGTACAGTTTAGGAAACAAGAATACTGAATATAAAGGTTAGCGTTGGCCTTCTCAGTAGCTTAGAGGTATGTGATGCCACTTCAGGGCTGATACATTTTAAGTGTGTGTTCTTTCCTCCAGATTTGCATCATTGGTTGCTGTCTACATTATTGGAGGTTTCCTTTACCAGCGACTGGTGGTGGGAGCCAAGGGGATGGAGCAGTTTCCCCATTTGGCCTTCTGGCAAGATCTTGGCAACCTGGTAGCTGTAAGTAGCCGTTAGTTTGAATTAAGCCTTGGGTTTTGGGTGTTCTCTTTGTCACAATCTGAGACCATGTGATCTGTCTTGCTCTATAGGAGTATCTTTCCTTTGCTTTTCGCCCCACAGGACGGTTGTGACTTTGTGTGCCGCTCCAAACCCCGCAATGTGCCTGCTGCCTATCGTGGAGTTGGGGATGACCAGCTGGGGGAAGAATCAGAAGAAAGGGATGATCATTTGCTACCAATGTGATTGCACTTTTAATGTCCAGCCACCTCTTCAGTCCCCAAACCAAAGCATACACAGCCAGACTTCTCAAGCCGTCTCCTCATCTCTCGCCTTGCCCTTAACACTCTTGCTTTCCAGTTGGCTTTTGATTTGACCCTAAACTGCCTCCTTTTGCTCCTATTGTTTCTCCTCTGCACAAATACAGTGGAAGGTAGACATAGGGTCTTTGGGGTTGATTCTTGTGCCGTCAGGAAGAGCAAGGACAGCTAAATGGACAGAAAGCCAGGAAGGAGCCCTGTCTGTCTAAACACTTTCACATTGAGACACTGGATTTAATTAAAAAAGAAAGAAAGAAAGAAAAGCAAAGATTACTTGTACCTTTGATTGCTTCCTGTTGTCGATGTCCCTGTAGCAGTCTGAGGGTCTGAGTGTGACTGCATAGTTGCTTTGCAGTGCTTACCTGGCTTTAGCCCAAATACTGCCATTTGCTTTGAGCCTAGAGTGACTCACTTAAATATCCCTTGTGTGGGATTAGGATAGGAAAAATGTGAAATTTCCCAACTGCAGGATTCTAAGGTGCCATCACACTGTTTATAGGTCTTTCCATGGCTTAATAGCTAGAATTGGACTCTGAGCTGTTGTTATAAATCCTTATGTAGCCCAAGTACCTAATCAAGCAGTCCTACTAAAGGACATACACCCATGCTCTAGAGGCCCCAGAACCTGTTACCTTGTGGTGGGATTTCCGGTTTCCTTCTGTTTACAGGAAAAGCTGGTAAGCCTGTTATTGCTCACTTCGCTCTACGCGTACTTCTCAACTTGTGTTGCACTTTTCTCACAGGTCTGTAGTTTGGCTTTTTGTATTTTTCCCAATCTTATAGAAAGGGAATGGAAGCAGAAGTGGACGTGGAGGGCTCTGTAGTTCTCTGCCTGGGTAGAGGACACTGCTGCTCCTGTCCTCCTGCTGGCTCAGGGAAGTGTCTTACCCACGCACCTATGAGAAAAGGCTTTTAACCCTCTCCCACTTCCTTCTGTTTAGGCCACGTGCCCAGAATCACAGGCTGATCTTCCTGTAATAGTGAACTTCTAGGCCACTAAGTAATAACACAGCTCACCTGAACACAGGAGATGTGAAAAAGGCAGGACCATTTGTTACCTTTAGAGAAAGACATGAAATAATGTCATTCTGACTTCTCGGTACCCTTGCAATGGTAGTGGGATTTTTTGTTTCCTTTCTATACAGGAAAAATTAATGTTATTTTTTAAAAAGGCATCGCATTTGTTGTTTGCATCCTTCCCTAGTGTTTTAAATGAAAAGAATAATACACCACTTTTTGTACAAAAAACATAATTAAAAAACATACAAAACATGCTGGCTTTGTCATTTGTGTTAAGAATTAAGAATGGAATGAAGTAAAACAATGGAGACCAATTTTCAGCCTTTTACTGAGGAAGAAAAAATATTTAATATTTGTTGTATAAGGAATAGTGCCTAAGGCAGGTGCTTACAATCCTGACCTTAGCCCCACACACTCCTGTTTTGTAAAGCTATAGGAAAAAGAGTTGGAACAGAAAAGGGTTGAAGATGGTAACAAATCAGAAGGGAGCGGGGATGCAGAAGTAATGACAACAGCCACGTGTGTGTCAGTCAAACACCTTTAGTCCCTGCAGCAAATCAGACACCAACCGAGTGTCCACACTGGCTGGTGACCCTGCCATGGATGCAGGGATATTCAATACTAGGGGAAGTGATAACAGCAAACTGAGCTACAGCCACAATGAGACAACCAAGAGGAGGAGATGATCAGGCTTTGCTACTTGTGTCACACAAGCTAGGAAAACTGACCCTCTCCTGTTGGGGAGGCAAACCTACATTTCACCCATTTCCTTGCCTTGCCACATAAGACACTCTTCCTCTTGGAGAAGTGAGACCCTGGTTAGTCACTCCATCCAGGATAAGGTTGAGCAGTCCTAATCTCTAGTCTGCCTGCTTGAAACTGGATTAGGGTAGGTGTGAACAGTAAGAATGTTCGTGAGTGTGTGTGTGTTTTAAGGTGAAACCCAGAGAAAATGTCCAAGCTGCCACCATGTAGCACCAGCAACCAATTCTTGCACTTCTGTCTCCATACCCCCCCATAGGGGGTCACATAAGAGGAACAGCTCGCTGGTCCCTGCAAAGTCTGCTGGCCCCAGGTTATAGCCTGAATGACTGGGGCATCTGACTTAGGCTGGTGTGTGCAGAGGCCCACATTAGGTCTCCTTGAGGACATTGATCTTGGCACAGATCTTGAGGGCAGGACCTAATTTGATGTTCATGGCACTCATAAGATGTTCTTCTTTAAGTAATAAAAGGGCCTGTCCGTCAATTTCCTGGGAACGAAACTCTTCTGCAATTTCTTGGCAGCCTAAAAGGAAAAGATGGGAGCATGTGAGAAACTGCATGGTACCATCAGAAGACATGGGAAGAAACTAAAGACAAACCAGCCTAGTGATAACTAATCCCAAAGCACTGTCCTAAATTCCGTAATAGGAAGATAGGCAAGCTTTGAAAGCAGGTAAAATTAAAGCCAGTGGCTACTTCATATAGTTTCAAAAGGCAACAAATTGTTCACCACAGAAATAATTTCATAACTCCTTCAGAAAGATAAAGAAAAACAACATGTTGGTGGTGCACACCTTTAATCCCAGCACTGGGGAAGACAAAGGTAGGTGGATCTCTGGGTTGTAGGCCAGCCTAGTCTATAGAGCAAGTTACAGAACAGTCAAGGCTACATAAACCTTGCCTGCAAAATCAAAACGAAGAAAAACTACACACATATCTCTTTAACAATAGCAAAAAAAAAAAAATTAACAGCTTTTGCAACATTTTCCTTTAAAGATCCAGAATTCAGACAAATACCAAAAACAGAGCAAGGGTGTTCAATGGAGGCAGTCCTGCCTTGAAAGGGAATCAGACAAGGTCTTTTCCAATGTACTCCACTGAAAGTCATGTATGCTGTTACATGACAGAGATTTTTTACCCAAAAATCCAAATGAGAAATAGGATTAATTCAAAATAAAAATAAAAAAAAAACAAAAAAACAAAAAACAAAACTCAGACACTGATTAATGGCATCGGCCCAGAAGGAAATTAGTGAAGTACATGGTAGGAAAGCAACCAGAGTAACTACCAAAGAGCCTCTGTGCTTCCAGACACAGAACTAGCTGCTTGTGACAGGTCAGTCAGGTGTCCTTGTAGGATGACCTAGGAGAACTGTGGGCCTGAATCAGCTGAAAAGGCTCCCAGTACCTTGCAGAGAAGCAATGAACTCGTAGACTTCCTCTACACTCCATCGGTTGGGATTACTGGACAGGAACACAGGGTTGATGCCATGTAATTCTGGTGTGGGCGGAGCTGTGATGGTGTTTCCTAGGTCACGTTCTCCATGTCCAGGTCTTACTGACAGTGGCCCAGGAGATGTTGGGGAGAGTGCTTCATCATAACTAGAATTATCGGAGCCTCGGCTAGAGTCCTCTTGTCCCTTTAGATAAGACAGCAAAACCGTACAACCAGTTAAGAGCAGTGTCATGACTACAGGAAAGCTTTTTTCTTAACAGGTGAACTAAAGTGGGACTTCATTTGCAGATGCACAAAACCTACTCTAAAACACTGTTCAAATATGAACTGTACCATTTCTTTGGTTTTCCCCTGAATTATCTCAAGTACAGTGAAGGATTTATTTCATGGCTGTATAAACTTGTAGTTAGATGAAAGGACAGTCTCTTACAACAATATGGATCAGCACAGTCGGTGTCAAACTAGATGTCTGCACCCAGTGCTTTTACCTAAGCAAAGGAACTGGGGGAAGGGGCATTACAGGCTAGCTGGCTCTGTGACAGCAGCTCACCCGATGGCGCTTGCCCTGGATCTTAGCACGAGCAATGTCAGAAGAGCTGCGGCGGGGTCCACGCCTCCGAACACGGGCGTAACTGGCTTCCTGAAACTCTTTCATTTTTTTCCTCTTCAAGCGGAACTGGTGGCTACAGCTCACATTGTACCTAGAGGTCAGGGTACATATAAGACGTCACAGTGCTGTGGGAACAACACACTGCCCTTTCATAAGTGTGAACTGGTATTTTAAGAGTTGACTTGGAGGACAGAATGAATGCAAAAAGGGATAAATGCACAGTTATGAAAAGGGACAGAACATTCAATGGGAAACCCAATGAGGGTCAGCTGGCTGGTGCCCCTCATACCTCTTTGCACATGTCATGGAGCAAAACCTCTTAGAGCCACGAAACTGCTCTGCTGGGGCATACTTCCCACAGTATTCACACTTTAAGAGATTTGCTTTCTTATCTAACTCTGAAAAACAAAACATCCATGAGTTACCTCAGTCTCCTCTGCCCCACAATTACTACAAGGCTCAGAGATGGCTACTAATTCTCCTCAGGGTTTTCTGCAAAGACCTACATGCCCAAAGACTTGCCCCTCAGAAAGAGTATGGTTTGGCATAAGAGTACTAGCCTATAATCTCAGCACATGGGAAACTGAGGCAGGGAGGTGAACATCAGCCTGGGTCAGAGACCTACATAGGTGCAGGGCAAGACTCTGGAGAGAGATGGAGATCTTAAACCTTCTTAACCACAAGCCATATCATTTCATGTCAGCTATTTCACTCATTTTATTCTGGCTCAACTCAGATTTCAGATCAGATTCTGTTATGGACATGGAAGAGGAACTAACAAATATATAGAAAGATACAACACCCTTTTTCCACAAAGACTTACAAAAGCAATGTTTTTACAGTGCTTTCTGTATGGTCCCACACGCTCAGCAGAACACGTCTGTGCAAGACAGCCTTTACCTAAATTCCTACTTCTATGCACAAGGACGAGGCAGGTGTGCTGAGCCAAGCCTGTAATCCCTAGACTCAGGAGGATCTGAAGTTAAAGGCTAGCCTGGGCTACATGGTGAGACCTGTCTCAGAAGAATGAAATCTAGGGATGTAGCTCAGTACAATTCTTGCATAACATATGCCTCAACTGGGCTCAATTCCCACCCCATCAAATATCTCCATGAGCATCCAATACTTACCTACAGAGGGGCTGTCTCCGCCCAAAGGGCCACCGGACTGATTCTCATTCAGCCCTGACGGAAGGCCAGCCTGCAGTGGCTTCTCAGATTCCTTCAGTAACTGAGAACATCCCACCTGTCCCAGAGAAAGACCAGTTAAGGTGTCCTAGTTCCTTCTTGCCCCTCTATAGCCTTCCATGACATTTCCCATGTCCTTGCCAGATGAGCTCTGAGTTGAAGGCCAAATCTGGCTCACAGGGATCTCTTAATTTCTTTTTCTCTTAAGATTTTCTTTAGGGGATAGGAGGAGTTGGGGCCGGGTCTCACTATATAGACCTGGCTATCCTAGAAGTAGCTATGTAGATTGGGCTGGCCTTGTACTCAAGAGATCTGCCTGCTCTTCTGCTACCTAAGGGCTCAAAAATGTGTACCACCACACCCAGCCAGAGGTGTGTAAACACATGCACATACATTAGGTAACCAAAATCAGATATTCAAGAGCTGGATTCAGTATAAGTGGTTGTAAGCTGTGTGACATGGGTGCTGGGAATGCAACTTGGGTCCTCTACAAGAGCAATATATGTTAACTGCTGAGGCATCTCTCCAGACCCAGGATCTTTCAATATGACAGCCAAGGGTCTTTAACTGGCTTTTTCCATCTAAGTCACTTAAGAATAGATTCTTACACTTACTCCCTCCTATCAAGTCCTTTCATCCACAAAGGTGCAAGGAATGCAAGAGGAATCAAGATGACTCGGTTTTGGTCCTAGTTTCCTTCATTATGAAGCTACCTAGTGTACTTAACTAAACACTACAGTTTTGAAAGCAATCGTCCTGCCTTCTGGTCCCAGTATTTTTACTTTCTGCATTCCTTTCCTCCTCTGTAAGCAGCACAATGAACCATTCTCCAAAGAGTTCTGCACTTTTGTTTTTAGAGGAAGCCGAAAAGAAATAACTAAGATGCTCTCTCCCCTCCCAGCCCCCCCTTCAAGCCCTCACCGGGAAAGGTTCTGCTCCCTCCTGGATAACAAAGCCTTCAATGATGTGCGTGAGAATCTGCGGCTTCACAATGGCCTGTGGGGGTTTTGAGTCACCCATCTGTCTGGACACCAAGGCTAGAGTAGGAGGCGGTGCTGATGAGGTAGGGGCCAAGGATACTAAGTCACTGGTTGGAGGATTAGCATTCAAACTGGACACTGGTTCAGCTTTCTCTGGGGGGGAAAAAAAAAAAAAAAAAAATCACACACACATTAAGGAACAACTATGACATGACACAACTAACTCCCACCCTGATCTTCCACAACATGCTCTCTTCAATCATTCACCATGAGCCTACACTTCTGTATTGATTTACTGCCCATCAAGTTCAGGCCCATTTCCTACTGAACTGGATTTATCTTTTAGCTCACTGAGAACATCTCTGTTTTGGAAGTTGGTTACTCACCTCCAACACTGTTCTTCTCCTCCATTACCTTTGGGCTCTCTGATGCTGGTGATGGCTTTGCAGGGAGCACAGAGCCCAGTGTGGAGCCATCATCTCTCTCCTCCTCAGACTCAGCTTTTCGTTTTACAGGCAATGTCTGGGGTTTACCCTGTAAGGTGAACCAACAAGCAGCTAAGATCTAGGTGTGAAAGGAAAACTATAATTGTGTACTTTCAGAGAATATTCTGAGTTCCAGATGCTCAAAGTTGCTTCCTTCCTTTGATGCACTAAACCTCTTGGTTACCCCCAATTAGTGTAACTTCTGCATCAGGACAAGAAACACATTACTTCGTCCTGACTTGGGATTGAAAGACTCATTGTAGTCCAAGTGAGAACTGTTGGCTTTACAAAGATGGACTTGGCTAAGGCACTCTTGATCTAACTAATAATATACATATAAAAGCCTTAAGGACTTAGTAATACATTTAGGAAGTTGAAGTTTAGACATTTTATATATGTTTACATATATATTTATATAAACATATCTAACATATATATATGTGTGTGTGTATATATATATATATATATATATATATATATATATATATATATATCTCACTTTTAAAAAAAGATCATATCCGTAGTATATGAATGGAATTTGGGAGCCCATTCCACATAGTGTGGATACTCCCTCGGCCTAAACACACGGGATAAGGCCTGGGCCCTGCTCCAAATGATATGACAGACTTTGAAGACTCCCCATGGAAGGCCTGCTCCCTCCCTGGGGAGCAGAAAGGGGATAGGATGGGAGTTGATAGGGGGAACAGGGGAGGACAGGAGGGTGTGGGAACTGGGATTGATATGTAAAACAAGCTTGTTTCAAATTGTTTAAAAATTATATAATTAATTAAAAAGAACACATATATGCCACCATGCACCTTCTCAACTCTTCATTCACCTATTCAATTAAGTTCTGTTTCTACTCAGTCCCAAGCCCATTCAGGTAGGAATATCTTCAAAATGATCAGACATCACTCACCGGCAGGTGCACAGACTGCATGTAGAAAGCAGCAGGGACTTGGGCCACCACAGGGGAGGAGGCTGTAGCCCCACCCTTCACCACATGTGCCGTTCCCTGCACAGGAGCAAGGGTCATCCCAGGGGCCAATGCGGGAGGACACTCCTGAAGCGCCCCAGAAGCCTGCGATGAAGGTGGCGAGGAAGCCAGATGGGCCTGGCCAGGCTGGACTGCCCCTGGCATTCCCCGGGAAGTAGGTACAGCGGCTGCCAGCTGTGCTAATCCCAAAGCCTGTGCCTGGGCTGTACCTGGCTGCCGGGTACCCACAACTTGCACAGGGATATGTGGTGGTGGTTGCTGGGTAGCTGACATCTTTGCAGCTCCTAGTTGAGGGGGTTTGATAGGTGCCACAGGTGGTTTGGACTGAATGGGGATGGGTGGTTTGGGGGCTGGGTCAGGCTGAAGAGACAGGGATGAAGACTGGAGCATGGGTTGGACCACCAGGGTCTGAGCTTGCTGTTGGGACTGGGAAGGTGGGACCTGCTGAGTGGGTGGGACCTGGGGTGGCTGAGGGGCAGTGAGAGTTGTTGCTTGCTGCTGCTGCTGCTGTTGCTGCTGCTGCTGCTGCTGTTGTTGCTGCTGTTGCTGCTGGGCCAACTGGAGGTGCGTAGCTGTGTGAAGCAGCTGGGACTGGCGGTGTTGGAACTGCTGCTGGTGATGTATGGCAATCTGCTGCTGGATCACCACTTGCTTCTGCTGGAGGTGGATCTGCTGCTGCTGCTGGATCAGTGAATGGGGCTGGATCTGTGTGTATGTGGCTGTGTAAAACAAGCCAGAATGGAACAGAGGAAAAGAGCAGAAAACCATACCCTTCTAAACTAAAAACAAAGCTGGCTAAGATGTACCCAATGCTGCAATCGGTGAATGCAAATCTCATCATCTGGGAATCAGACTGTGAAAGTCCAGCCTTCTTGGAACCTGAACATCACTTTATTCACACACTTTCCACTGAATTAGACATTACTGCCTGCCTCCAGAACGAAGATCTCAAGGGCACAGCCTGGAAGCTCAGGAGACTCAAGCAAATCCAGGGCCTGCCTGAGCAACTTAGTGAGCTGCTTCTCAAAATACAAGTTAAAAAGGACAGGACTAGGGTGTAGATCTGTATTATAAACTTGCCTTGGCATGTTTAAGGCCTAGATTCAACCCTAAGTAGCACACATACACGCATGCACACACACACACACACACACACACGGAAGGAGATGGAGGAGATGGAGGGAAGGAGCTCCCTTGAGTCAGTAATCGTCTTTAGTCAGTTCTTTTCTCTTTGCTATAACCATCCTACCACTCAGTACTTAGCTAGGAATGATTGACTCCCCTCCTTCAGTACCTCAAGGCTAAACCCGTGTTTTATTCATTTTGAGATCCCTGGAAACCACTCCAGTGTTTGATACATAAGATGTATTTAATATTCACAGACAGAATAAATACCCAGAGTTAAAATATCATCATCCTTACAAATGTCTCCACCTTTAAAGCTCATTACATTAGGTCACCATCTAAGTCTTAAGGAAGCAGACACAGGCTCTGACTACTGTTCCCTCTACACACTGGAGGTGACAGTCTCTGCCCTGCACATTATCAGACTGTCCAAAACACACAAAGCACGTGATCTGAAAGCACTTCAGGACAGAAAGGCTAAGGTACCTAAATATCTAATATTGGTGATTTTTGCAATGAAGTTATCCAAATATATCAATGATTAAGGCGATGAAAACAAAGAAGAACCAATATTACCAAGTATAGACACTGGCTCTATTTGACCCAGTCTGAAACTGGGGTTATTGTTATTACTAATTCCCATTTGTCCTTAACATTAATACAAATAACCACAAGTCAACCACACACACCAAGCCATAGTTCCTTGTGCTGGCCTTGTGTAGCCTTTAATATTTACACTATAGCTGCTTGAACCACGCACTAAAAAGAGAGAATTCATCCTTTACACTACACTATAAGTAACATGAGAACAGGGAATCTGTCTTTCAAAGATGTATCTGTAGCACATTTGTTAATTCCATCAGAATTCAGTGAAGTGAATAAACTGAAAATTCTGGGCCCCTCAAATGTAGACAAAGTGCTTTGTGAGCAGTTGCTGTTTGGAAGAAACTGGTAAGACCTTCATCTATTCATCTGCCACTGAGCTAGCATGTTCAAGACCACCAAGATTCTCTCTCCTTCTGCCGTTCCATGGCCAAGAGGTTTTTTTTTGTTTGTTTGTTTGTTTGTTTTGTTTTTTAAGGGCAGGGAGGCTCTAAGTATTTCAAATTACTTCTGAGAGATTAATGACATTGTGAGAAATGACACCTTACCTGAGCTAATAAGAGTCTGGCTGGGGGCAGGTGTGGCGGTCCGAGTCAGGTTCATGCCCACATTCTGCTGGCCACTCCCATCTGCTTCTGCCTTCTTGGCTGCTGCACTTTCTGCCTCTGTTTGGCTGCCCTGGCTCACAGTCACTGTTTGAGCTGGGGGTAAGGGCTGTACCACTCCTGTGCCCTTCCTGGGACAGCTTCCACCACCCAATCCTGAAGACAACTGACCCAAGCCCCCAGGTGCCTGGCCACCTCCACCTGGACCCATGGAGCCTGGGAGGCTATTCCCACTGCCTCCCCCAGCTTGACTAAGGTTGAGTGACTGGCCTGAGGCCCCAGAAGAAGCCTGTGCCACAGCTAGGGCCTGGCTAGAGGCCTGGGAAAGGCCAGAAACAGGAGAAGCTCCAGGAGGAACGGCCTTCTGAGTAGAGCCTGGCATCTGGGGTCCTTGAGCTGAGGCCTGCTGGTTCCTCACTGCCAAGTTCTGCACCTAGAAGATAGAATATATGGTGTGTAGATTCCTGTGATTGACTCACAAACTACACTGTAACACCCCACAGCTCATCTGACTTAGCCCTGACTACTTAAGTCCTTCCAGTCTCCCAAAGAGCTTTGTACACACATCTGAATTTTTAGTCTCTGTCATTCACTATCAAGTCTATCATCAAATTTCAACATTTATCCCTTCAAAATATGTCTCCGACATTCTCTTTACTCATGTTCACTTAGCATCTACCAAATACCCACTCTACACTTCATGTACTACCTTGGACAGTGGAAATGCAAGAATTATATGCTTGTGCTGCAAGGTTTCTGTTAGAGGAGAAAATCAGTAAGTGTAACACAGCAATACACACACACACACACACACACACACACACACACACAAACCAAGTTTACAGGAGTACAGAGAATGAAAAATCAACTCCAACTGGGAGACCAAAGCTTCCTAATCTCAGGATGCCTGTCCCAAGGCTCAGAGGGGAGACAGTGAAGGGAAGGACTTAAGGCATTTCTAAAAGCATCTGCAAGGCCACAGAACCAAAAAAAATAACATCATGTTTTAATATAAACATTTTACTGTATTGAGTTAAAGGGAGCAGAAAAAATAAGAAACAAGAAAGGTAGCTGGAGCTATGCTGGGTCACTAAGAGCCTCGAGAATTAAAATTAATAGTCTGAATTGCAACTTACAAACAGCAAGTTTAATCTCTTGTTAACTGTTAACAGTCCCAGAATGTAACACAGCCGGGCGTGAACAGGGAAGGAGAGAAAAATAACTACCTAGTTGATTCTACCAATCAGAATACTATCACAATTAATCTTAATAGTAATCAGAACAAGCCAGGCTTTGGTGGTGCATGCCTTCAATCCCAGCACTCTGGAGGCAGAGGTAGGTGGATCTCTGTAAGTTCGAGATCATCTTGGTCTACAGAGCTAGTTCCAAGACAGCCTCCAAAACCACAGAGAAACCCTGTCTCAAAAAAGCCAACACCAACACCAAGAAAAAAAAAAAAATAATAATAATCAGAATAGGGAGGGAGGGAGAGGGAACTGGGATCAACATGTAAAATAAAAAAAATAAATAAAATTTAAAAATGAAAAATAATAATCAGAATAAAATGGTAAAATTATAGCTGAAGCCATTTCTTTGTAAACATTTTGAGGAAAAAAACCCTATCATATACTAATGGTGACTATTCACACGTTTGCACACATACACTGGAATTCCACATAGAAACTTCCGGGCAGCAGGATAGACCATGAAGAGTAACAAAAGCTGTGTAACAACCCAAACTGCCACCCACAGAAGAAGGGAACTATATTTAGACAACAGACTATTACACAAAAATCAGAATCACAGATAATGACTGTAAGGTACATGTTTTTGGTACTATGCTGTGAAGAAAATATTCTCAGGAAGGTGCAGAGGCATGCTGCTGTTATCCACGGAGCTGAGGCTGAGGCAAGAGGAAAACAAGACTAGTATCTGAGGCTGGTCTAGCCAATATAGCAAGATTCTGTATCAAAACACAAAACTGTATTCTCAAAAAGATTACATACGGCTAACTTTCTTTAAATATAAATAAAACATGTCATATCCAAAATACATAACAATATTTATATTACATGTTGCTATTTAGACATCGTCACACATCACATTATATACTGTACACATGTATACATCTAAAAACATAGTATCTAGAGTCTACTTCAAATTAATCCATGGTCAGAGGACAAGAGCCTGAACAGAATGGCCACATATTGGTAACTGTTGAAATTCAGTGGTAAATATACAGATTGGATTTTGTGTATATATATATATTTCAACTTCCCATGAAAAGTACTTTTCAAAGTAAAGTTTAGACCAAGGGAAGGATGATTCTAGAAATCAGTACATATACCATATACTACATACCATGGACAAGAGCAGTCCTAGACACAGTGAAAACTGCTCAATACAGATTTTGGTTTGAAGCACTGGGGAACCAACCCAAGGTATCTTTCACATTCAAGGCAAGCACTCCACCACTGATCTATACCTTAGCCTGCTTCCCTCTTCTATTAAAAATAGCTGTGTAAAAGGCTAAAGAGATAGCTCAGAGAACTAAGGGTACTTACTAACCTTGCAGAGGACCCAAGTTCTGCTCCCAGACCCATATGGTGGCTCACACCCTCCTCTAACTCTAGTTCTGAGATCCAACAGCTTCTGCAGGCCCCTGCATGCACAGGCTACACATAAACTCATGCAGGCATACACACATGAATAGAAATATATATATATATATATATATATATATATATTTTTTTTTTTTTAACTTAAAACTGATTTTTTAAAAGTGAGCCATGGGAGGACCAAATTATAAGATGGTGATAAACCACATCACTAGAACTGATCAAATTTTGTAAGTTAGTAGCAAAATACCTTTCTTGCATTCTCTATGCAAGTGAGTGTTCATGTATATGCAGCTGCTCATATGTGGGGATACAGACACATATGTGTACACATCCATATGCAGGTCAAAAGATACCTCTATGCAATTCCTCAGGCACCACCTCCTCTGAGACAGTATCTCTTGCTATCCTCACCTACTGGGCTAGACTAACCGAACAAGGAACCAAAGATCCATCTGTTTCTATCTCACCATCGCTGGAATTACAAGCAAGCACTACATGACTGGGTGGTTTTTTGGTTTTGGTTTTTCAAGCAGGGTTTCTCTGTGTAGTCCTGGGTGTCCTGGAACTCACTCTGTAGACCAGGCTGGCCTCAAACTCACAGAGACCCACCTGCCTCTGCCTCTGCCTCCTGAGTGCTGGGAATAAAGACGTGCACCACCACTGTCCACCTGCTTTATTGTTTGAACAAGGGTTGTGAATATGGACCTCAGGTCCTCATGCTTCCAGGGTGAGCCTCTATGTTGTTTTAAAGTCATCTTGATAGAAACATGAAAAGGGTTTGAAAACTAGCATAGTATAGTCAGGTGAAGGGAAGAAATTGGATCCAGAACAGTGGGAGAGAAGGCCAGCTTTTCAGAGGCGCCTGTAACCCATCAAGAGTGAGAACTAGACCAATTACACAGCTTCCCTTCTGCAACGGCCATTCCTACTCTCCCTACACCCCAGAACCACATTCTGTTTTCTCCCCCCTATCTCTACCTCTACCTCTGCAAACAAAGTGAAAACCAGGTTCATGGGTTCTACCATCTATGCATTTACCAGCACTACCCTTCCTCCTAACAATGGGCAATCCTCTGCTCTGGACCCTCGACCTCCACTTTTCTAGAAAGCTCAGGATATCAGCTGTTATTCTTGGCTCTATCAGCCACTCCTGCCTGTGTGAGCTGCCTGTGCCCTTCTCTCTGTTCACTTCTCCCTGTCTGTCTGCTCCCTCTCCTTGCCTGTCCCCCCCTCCCTGTCTGCCCCGCCTACCCCAGCTTCATTCTCCTTCCCCTCCTCTCCAACTCTCGCTAAATAAATTCTGTGCATCCACTATACTCCTATAGCATCACATGCTTCAAACTCAACATGCCTTCAAGTTCAATCCCCTCCAACTCCTCTGAAGTAGCTCTCCCTCCATATTAACAAATCATCCTTGTCTTCCTCCTTTATACTGAAAGGAAATGAGTGGTCCCCACCCCCTACACCCATATCCACCCATCTTGTAATATCCTGTTCCTCGGTCTTCATGATACTCCACAGTGCAGACTTTACTCCTCTCTGTTGTTCTTTCCTGCTTCCCTTTGTCAGCCAATCCAACACCTTCACATTTCCTAAGGGCTCATCCCAACCTTCAGAGTTCTACGAAACATTCTCTTCAGCCCATATGCTCTCTCTAAACAATTTTAAACATTTCCTTAACTTCAGTAGATGGATCATTTATGTCATTTTCACATGTTTAGCTCCTAGGTAGCTCTCCTAAACTCTCCTAAATTCAAGCAGCACAGAGCTGCTGTCTTGGTGTTTCATACATGTCTCAAAGCATCTCTAATTTGGCACGTCCAAAGCTGACCTTCAACCCAATTGCACTTTTCCAGCCTTCATCTCACATCCAGTACCAACAGCTCTACAATGCTGTTTCAGACCTCATGCCTGGCACCCCCTTCAAGTCCCCCACCCCCGAATCAGCTCACCTTCAGTAACTCTTCTTTAATCTCAAATTCTGTAATCTTGCATTCCTGTAATCTTAACTGTTATGCATTCCAATACCATCTTTCTCCTAAATTATTCTTTTCCTATTAACACATTCAACATAGCCTTTAAAGAAATAAAAAAAAAAAAAAAAAGATAGACTCCCTGTCACTTTCATGCTTAAGGTCTTTCTTTGGCTTCCCATTATCCTTGATACAAGGCCCAAAGTCCTAAACACAGCCCCAAAACCTTGTAAGATGAGGTTCCTCCCAATGGTCTAGTCCTCCTGGAAAACCGTCCATCTTCTAATTCATTGGGCAAACCAACTCTTCTATCGTCAGGATCTTTAAACATGTTTTCCAGGCATTCAACATCTCCTTATAGACATACTTGGCTAACACCTATGGAGCCCATTTTAAATGTCTCCTCCTTGATTTCTAGCCCATCCTAAACTAAGTGCCTTTCTTCATTCTTAGAATGCCTTATTCATGCTAATGAAGCAATTATTATACCACTCAGATAATTGTTTAATAGCTAGTACTTTAAAGGTCCATAACCTCCATAATGTAGGTATCGTGACTTTCCTAAGTATCCAAGACTGCAGAGTGACTGACAATAGTTAACAATCTTAAACATTAAGTCCAGACATGATACAAGCACTCAATTAGTCCCTACAACACGCTGTGCATTGGGTATACTCTATATTAACTCAATTAGTCCTTACAACACACTGTGCATTGGGTATACTCTATCTACAGTGCAGATGAAGAGACCATAGCAGAAAGACATTTGATCACTTGCTCAAGATGCTATAGTTAAATGTAGAGTTGCAGCCTGACCCAGACACCATATGCACATTCTAGCCACTATACTCATATTCATTGTCAGCAGATGGGATGGATGGATGGGTGGATGGACAGGGGAAAGGAAGGATGGATGATGAGGAAAGTAAAGAACTGCTATGAAAGCACATAGCCTCCTCTTTGCCTTCCTCTGCTAGAAGAGCCTACCAAGGTATCTTACAACTAGATGACCCCAGTAGTCTTTAAGCAGCTCCCCTTCCCAGGCTCTTGCCCCTCGATTCTTTCTGAAGTATTTTTTTTTTTTTATTCTGTTCATCTGCTGTCCAACAGCCAATAATGGTCTCTGCTATTAGAAGTTAACTACAACCTCCTTTCCTTGGCTTTTAGTGTCCTTCCTAATAATGACATTTTATACTATTAGGCCCCTTGTCACTCTGCATTGTTTTTTGACAAAACTGGAGATCCAATCCAAAGTGCATCACAGGCAAAGGCTCTACGTCAGAGCTATATCAGAGCCCTGCTGTCGTCGCTACTACCAACCCCTCCTACAGGGGTCCCATGTGTGTAAATGAACGGTGCCCTTACACTTGCTCTTCTTCTTCAGTTTTCTCTTTACTCCAAATTAAATCTGCCCATCTTTCAAGACTCCACTCAAGTATACCACAAAGTAACAACCAGTCCTTGAAACCTGGTGTCACTCAGGGTTAGCTGAGTTTCGTATGACACTGCTGTCCCCCAAGCTGTTTGAAAAGCTGACTTATCTCTTTTAATTCTCCACAGCTCTAAACACACCAGCACAATATATTTATCTAGAAGAACAAGACAACCATTATAAAGTCCTAGTTTACAACTTATCTGTTGGAGTTTCTTTTCGATTTGCCCCAAATAAACACATGGAGACATATTAATTATAAAACTGTTGGCCGATGGTTAGGGATTTTATTGGCTAGCTCTGTCTCAATTATTAACCCATTTCTATTAATCTAAGTATTCCCACATGGTCTTATCTTACTGGAGAAGGGCCCAGATCTATTATTATTCCTTCTGCCGCTACATAGCATCTCCCCACCTCTCTCTCTCTCTCTTTCCTTTTGTAGCCCCAACTATCTTCCTGACTGGCCAATCAGTGTTTTATTCATCAACCAATAAGGGAAACATATATACAGAAGAACATCTCTCATCACCTGTCCGTGTGCTAAAAATTAAAATATATTTTGTTTTGGGGGAAAAGTCACAAAAATCAAATGGAAGAAAGACTTTACTGAGAACATGAACAGGGACAGGAGACTGAAAGTTGAGAACTATAGTAAGTCAAGAACAAAAGAACCAAACATCCTACCAACAACTCAGCCAGGGCTAATTCACATCTAACTTTACAGCCCTAACTTCAGGTGACATTGCTATGAGGGACTTAAGACTCAATAAAAGTAAGCTCAGAGGATAACACAATGCCCAGAAAAATCAACTTGTGTTCTAAGACTTCCAGATCCACAGGGATCTTCTTAAGCAATTCTACTTCCTTCTTTTCTCAAATCAACTCACAAGTTTTAAGGGATTTATAGGAGTTGAGGAAAGGGAAGCCAAAACACACAAAGCAGGAATTAATAAAAAAAAATCAATAAAAGGGCAGAGTGTGGGGCCTGGCCTCCAGTCATCCCTTCATGCCCCTGGGCTTCGCCACAGTAAGTGGTTGCCACTGACCTGATCTGCATCTGCATGAACTCCCGGAGACTGAGCGGGTGGCACCTCCTGCTGGACCGCAGCCACCGCCCCATTGGGCATCAGGATGAGTTGGGAGGCTAGAGGCACATTCCGGCCCAAGGTCCGGTTAACCTGTAATAGGTTTCCCAGCTGTGGCTGGCGGGGAGAGCAGGAAGGAGAGGAAAGAGAAGAAAAGAAGACAGAAGAAATGGAAGGAAAGGACCACAAGACAAAATAAACAGTAGATATTAAACAACCGAGCCTGCCCCTTTCCAAACCAACCCAAGAACCTCTCACTCTCCAAATGTGATGAATCAGCCAGAAGAAAACCTAGAATGTGCAGAAGACTATGGAATGATAACGAAGAGTCAAACATCAAAGACATTCAGACAAGGATTTCAGACACATAGTTCTATACAGAAATAGACAAGCTGGAAGATACTTAGAATGTATGTACCCAAGTTGCACATTTAAAGGCTAGACTCTATCTAACACTGATTTATCAAATGTCAAGGCCACATCCTCCAGCAAAGGATCTCAGTGTTATCGGAAAGCATCTTTTCTAGCCTACGGAAGGCACGGGGGAGTAGATCAGCTAGTTTTAAAACACATGGATGACCAGAATTACACAAAACAGCTTTCAGGCTAAGGGAATCACCCAGGGACAGAGCACTTGCCTAGAATGCATGAGGCCCTGGGGTTCGCTCCCTAACACCACAAAAGTAAATATATAAAATACTTTCACTCCTTGCCAGCAAAGACAAATTGAACTATGCCCCTAGGACAATGGTGGCTATGACATGACTTACCCGCAGATACATCTGGGCCTGAGACTGGTTGAGGGGTGGGGAAGTGGTGTTCCCCAGTAACACAGACTGGGTCAGGGTGGTGGCACTGGGAGAGCTCACACTCTGGGAGCGGCTGATGAGCTGGGCGGCCGATGTCGTCGCCAGATTGATCTGTAAAGCACGTTAGGAACCAGGACTAAGGATTTGAGGAGAAGTCGAAGAAAATATATACAACTGACAACTTCAGAGTGGCACAATCAAGAGCAGGGTGTTACTTTCATGAAGTCAAGGGAAATAATAACTTCCTATTCAAAACTGTCATCCCAGATACTCTGGAGTATTAGCAAAGCAAAAAGACAAACAATCAAAAAGAAAGAAAGCCCACAACCACCAATGTAAACACTTGAGCAGGCAAGGCAAAGGAAATGGGCAGATTTCCCTCTCTCTGAAAAAAGCAACTTTTCATTCGTTATCTCTTCTCCCCCAAGACTTTCTCCTTCCTTCTTTAGATTTACCCATTTAAAGAGTCCTACATAGCAAACCATACATAATAGTGTATGCCTATAATCCCAGCACTCAGGAGGAAGAAGCAGGAGGGTCACTGTAGATACAAGGCAGCATGGACTAGCTAGGGAAAGTCTGTCTGAAAACAAAGATTCCTACACAGATTCAAATGGGTTCCCTGATCTTTTATTGCCAATAAGAGCAACAAATATCCACAGATGTCAGGATAAACCTTCTCAAATCAGCCACAAAGACCAGACTTTGACAGACACTGCCTGCCCTCAAGGAGACAGCACTCACCGAGGCCTGGGTGGTAGCGGTCTGCTGCTGGGCTGTGCTGCTGTTTGGGGAGCTAGCCTGCCGACTGGCAGCAATCGTGGCCTGTTAAAAGGAAGCATAACAGAAACAATGAAAAGGCTGTGTCTCCCTGTCTTCCAGTATTAATTCATGGCACAAAACAGATTTCAGGTAAGAACAGAGAGACTCTATGTTGGAGTAAGGAAAAAATGCAACACTATATCCCTGTAACCTCAAACAACCATATAGCCTTCTCGGTAACCTCGGGGCAGTAGGCAACCAATCCTCTCCCTCTGGTACTCTTTGTCAAGCGGAAGAACTCCACCTTCAAGTCACATCATCAGTCAGTGATACATCGAATGCAGAGTTGTAACATCAAATGAGCACATATACAAGTTCCTATCATGCATATTTAAAAAGTATTAAGTGGGATGATGTAAATTTCAGTAACTTATTTAATATAGCACATACAAAATTAATACTATCATCTGGGGAGGACTAGAGGGATGGGACTAAACCCAGGGTTTTACACGTCTACGACACTTCTTTTACCTCAAAGATCCATCTCTGCCCCAAATATTATCATCTCAACATTAAACTAACATAGAAGTTATTGAGATATCTTACCTTCTTTTTTGTCAGTCGAAGTCTTCTATAATCTTATAGTGTCATCTCAACTTGAACTAGCCACTTTCAAGTACTCCATAGCTACATATGGCTGGTAGCTAACACGTTAGACAGAGCAGGTCTACAACACTGCCATTCCAGCTAAGAGTCTCCCACAGTTCATACTGCAACCCCAGAATCCAAGAACCATCCTCTCTCCTATAAGTATAGGACCAAAGGCAGGCTCTGGTATAAGATGCAGACTGCTCCTCTACCCTAAACCTGCAGCCTGACCCCTCCCTCCTGTCCCAACTGGCTGCTGACCTCTCACCTGCTGAACGGCTGCCAGGCTGTGCAGCTGGGCATTACTGAGCTGCTGCTGGAGCATGAACTGGTGGAAATACTGAGCTGCATTGGGTTGCCGCTGCAAGGCTTGCAGAGCCTAGAAGACAGGATGCAGAATTAAGAACAATCATTCCTGATCCTGTGTGCATCACTGTAACTGCCAGGAAGGCAGTGAGAAAGAAGATAAACCAAAGGAGATGGAGGCTGAACAAGCCATCATCTGTATCTAATTCATCATTACTGTGTTGGATCCAGTAGGCTATACAGCCATCCTAAACAGGATAAACAACTGATTCTATGGTCTATCCTCATATATAAGGAAAAGCAAACCAGTGCACATGAACCTTTACTTCCCAAAATGAGTTCTGGAAATAGATGGCAAGGTTTAGACAAACTGCAAAAAATGGGATACTGATTAATGTAAGGAAAAATCTGCACTTGGTGACAGATGCCCTCAAAAGAGCGAAGCAGGAAGATGGGGGTTACAGAGTAAGCCATATCTCAAATAAATAAATAGGTACTAATAATTAAAGGAAAAAGTTATATATTGTAGGTGTCTAACACAGACATACAGAACCCTAAGTGTTTGTAGATAGATGACAAAAAATTGATAGTGACTTCTGGACAATTCTACCAGGCAAAATTGTCAACTCGATTATAAAAATGATAATGATCATTTTAGTGTCAACCGGATTTTGCTATGTTCTTACTCTTTAATAATTACAACTGTTCCACCATAATCTTTTAAATAAAATGCTTTATTTCCAAACAGGATATTTAAAGCATGGGATCAGCTATTTGTCCAAAAGTAAATATCTGAAAAGGTTCATGATATTTCTATTAATAGTCAGGATAACTCATAAGTCCCACGATTGAAAATCTGACTACTGGAACAGGAAAGAGCATTGATAGCACAAGCCTAAAGACCTGAGTTCAATCCCCAGAACAAAAGGCCAGATGCAGTGGTGCACATCTGAAACCCTGGCACTCTTAGTTTGTTTTTGTTGTTTTTCTTGGTTTTTCAAGACAGGGGTTTCTCTGTGTAACAGCTCTGGCTGTTCTGGAACTTGTTTTGTCAACCAGGCTGGCCTCGAACTCAAGAGATCCACCTGCCTCTGCCTCCCAGGTGCTGGGATTAAAGGCGTGAGCCACCATCATCTGACTACCAGCACTCTTAAATGAGATGGTAGATGGAGACAGAACTGGCTAGAAGCTCACGGGACAACTGGATCTGTATATACTATATATACAGTAGAAACAAAACCCATAAATAGTCCTGACCTCCACATATCCAGCACAATAAACACACACGCACACACACAAAATAGTAAATACGCAAATATTTTTTAAACAATTTAGAGAAATAGTTAATTAAAACCTAGTTAAATAGACTGAACCTTATCAATGTGTGAATTTTACAGTACTTCATATTTAATCAATGAACCACATTTTCAGGCTCTTTTTTCATATTTTTATTTCAAGACAGGTTCTCACCAAGTTGCCCAAGCTGCCTTGAACTTGGTACATAACTAAAAACAAAACAAAAATAATCAAATTTCATTCTGGGTTTGCTTGCTCTAATTTTATAGACTGCTAAAATTCTGAAGTAGAAGAAAGAGGATTCTTTACCTATACCAGAAAAATCTGGGGATGGTGATCTTGAGGCATCACCTTGAGGTGATCTTTGCCTGACCCAAGTCAATACTCACAGACCTCGGCTGAGCCTCACCTGCACCGCCTGCCGTTCATACAGGGACATCTGCGCTATCTGGGGCCGAGAGCTGCCCCCCGAGCTGGAACTCCCATTGGTGGAGCTAGAGTTCTGCTCGCTCTCCGTCTCCATAATAGTGTTCCAGGGTCCCCAAGAATGGTGCTCTGACTCAAGCCCTAGACAGGAATCAACAAAGGGGTAAAGTTATACCTCTGATCTAAACTGTCATCTCATTATTATTATTATTCAAAGCTCATTAAGTTCACAAAGTATCTAGGAATCTTCCTCTGAGGTTTCAGAACTCCCAAATCTGCAACACGATCTTACAATTATGTTTTCCTCACTCCATTGCCTTTTCAAGCTAGTCACGATCTCAGAAGAAAAGAATCTTACACACCCCCTCCTGGATACCAACAAATAAAATGACCAAACTATAACAAGCCACCTTACATCCCCAGCACTTTTCAACATTTTAAAAAGGATTCATTTAAAACCTGCTCTTGTTTTTATTTCCATCATTCCATTGTCATCCCAACAATGGGCAGCATTTCCCATGAAGCCTCTAGTTGCCTCCTTTCCTTGGCCTAGGCCCTCCACCTGTACTATTTTTTACAGTGCTGTATACTAAGTATTACTGCCCCCATTTTATAGTAGTGAAAACAAGGATTTTCTGTGTATCAAGTCTTTACACTACTTTGTCTCTTCCCAAAACAAAAATGCAAACAAACAAACAAACAAATCTGCCATTAAAGCAGTGTCATTTAGTCTGAGTGTTCATTATCTTCATTTGATGGAGGAGAGCCCTGGATACTGAAGAGGTAGACAGAGTGGACAAGTCTTGGAAGGGGACAAACGCTGGGCACAGAAGAGCTAGCCTACTACCCAAAGTAGCTGACTGGCTACAGGCCAAGCTACTAATTAAAGCCTCAAGATTGTCACTTCTTATATAACTTCAATGACCCTATTAGCAAATAAGGTAACAAAGTGAACATGTTACAGACTCCCAAGTATGTAACATTAAGTAACATCCTGATTCAAAAAAATAAGATTCAACTTTACTAAAGTGTAAGAATTTACCCTCTAGAGGCCACATCAAAATTAACAAGAATAGAAATGCATGAGTCAAAAAAGAAACAAGAGAAGCAAACAGAAACACTCTTCTAAAGCGGCACTAAAAATGACTATCCTTCTACTTATTTTTTTTCCTTTCTTTTGTTAAACTTACACTGTATATTCTTTACTTTTGAAACACCGGGACTACTAGAAATATCAGGTCATCCAATCACTATGTGGTTTAAGAACAGAAAACTCTGACCACAATTTCTGCTGAAGGCTGTCTACAGTTTGTTTCATTTGGTGAAGGGATTTATCTGAGGACGGCATCCCAAACAAGCAAACACACTCTTGGTCTTGCCAAGTTGAGATTTCTCCTAATTCTCACCACATCACTGTCCCCCAGAGAGCTCTGCCCATTTAGGAAGAGCCGATGTCACTCCACACATGGTTACAAAGGAAAGGCACAGAAGATACTTTCTTTATCAGCTCCACCTTCAGTCTACCTTTCTCCCCACATCTTTTGCCAAAATATCAAAGCACTAAACAGATACAGACCCATGAATCCTCAATATCAGCATGTGAAGAAAAAAAGTGGGTAAGGATTAGAGGCAGCATGGCACAGTTGTATTATAGATTACTGGACTTAGCTCGCTGGATTCAGAGACATCAGACCATTACTTGCAATAGAGGCTTGTATAAAAGATGTTCATAAATTCAATGACCCCTTCATTTCCCCCCAGATAGTGAAACAGAAAAGGGACAATTTAAAGCCTTTGATGGGAAACTGCCATCAAAAACCTCACACAAATCTACTCATTTTTTTTAAAATTCACATTGTGAGTTCCAGATTAAATATCGGAAGTGAAGACAGCAAACAGTTTAGGAGGCAACTTGAATTAAAAATTTAAAACAGGGAGAAGAGTGAAAGGACATCCTAAAAGGTAGTAGCACCATTTAGGTGTGGATGTATAAGATTCATTTGGGGTCGATGCACACCGATGGGAGGGGACTAGAAAGTAATACCGAGGTGGCCCAGGGGGTCAAGTGTTGGAAGAAGTCCACGTCCCCGGGTATAAAACTCTGTTGCAGTAAGAATAGAGCGAGAAGCAGGGGTTGAGGGTACCTCGGCAAGACTCCCAGGGGTTCTTGCTCTACACAGAACCGCGATGAAAGCGCAGTTCCAAAAAGAAATCAAACACACCGGGAGAAGGGGGTGGATACAGTGCTGAGCCCGGAGCGAACGGACTCGGTAAAGCAGCGAAATGTACATTCTAATAGTAGGGTTGAGCCAAGCAGGAGGGGCACAGAAGTCAAGGAACTGGAGACTGGGGAGCCCGGCGCAGCGCGAGAAGCAGGGAAATAACCAGACAGCATGCTCGGGATGTAAGGACTGAAGCCGGGGAAGGGAGAAATGAATGAGAAGACGAGCGGCCAGAGGCAACGAGGTGACGGACGGACACACAGCACCGAGCACAGCGAGCGCAAAGCACGGAGACCGGGACGCGCAGCACCGGAGCACCGCAGAGCGCAGCGGAGCGGGAGGCAGGAGCGCGGCTGGGGGAGGTACCTGGGCGTTGCACACGCCGAGGTGGTTGAGGAAACATCCCCGCGCCGCCGAGCCCCCGGGATGCGGCCCCTCCCCGGCCCGCGGCCGCCCGGTTACCTTCGCGCCCGGCTCCGCACCCGAGTCCTCGCGGGGGGCGTCCACCTCAGGGCGGGGGAGGGGGGCCGCTCGGCCTCGGCGGCGCGCCGCCTCCTCCCCTTCCTGGAGGGGCGGGGGCCCAGGCGCGGTGGGAGGTGCCCGACGCGGCCGCCGCTCCCCGCCCCTCCCGCTGTCCGGGTGCCGGCCGCGCCGCGGCTCCGCCAGGCCGGGGGCTCGCGCGGGCCTGTCACTTCCTGCCCCGCCGCGAGGGTGGGGGGCCTAGGCCGGGGGGCCGCGGGCCGGCGGGGAGGGGGCTGCGGGGAGGTGCTTCCGGGGCAGCCGACCCCTCCCCCGGCCCGCCCCCTCCCCGCGCCCGCCCTCGCGCGCGTCCCTCGCTTCCTGCCGGCGCCCGTTGCCATGGCGACGCCGCTCCCGGGCCTCCGCGCTCTAGGCCGGAGTGGGGTTGTTTTTTTTTTTGTTTTTTTTTTTTTTTCTTCTCCCTTCCCCTCCTCCCCTGGCTCCGGTTCCCTTTCTCGTCCTTTCTTCCCCCCTTCTTTCTCTCCGAATTCCGCTCGCCGTCTGAAAGGATGGAGCTAAGAAAGCGCTAGCCTCTAGAGGGGGACTCACCTCCGAGAAGAGAGGGAGATGGGAGAGGGGAGGGAAGTGACGTGAAAGGGGGGAAAAGAAGGTATTTTCTGCAGCTTCTGGGAATAGGGGCTCAAAAGAAAGGATCAAAGGGGCTAGCAGGCAGAGAGGGAGGAAGCGGGGCAAAGACCCTTGAGGAACGACGGTCTGTGAAAGGAAACAGCAGAGGGAAGGAAAGAGAAACTTTGAGGTCGAGGGAACGGCGAGAGAATGCTGATTGTTTAATCCCTCGCCTCAACTCCAAGAAGGCGGGAAAGAACGCTGCACAGAAACTGAACCCGTTACAAGCTGCAATTCATTTAAAAGCAGGAACCTGGGGGCCGCTTGCTTTGAATGACATTCAAGCCCGTGATTTCAGGGTTGATTGTGAGCTTGTGAATCTCTAAAGTCACATGAACATGTGAAAGAATTAGGACGCCCAAAACAATGGAAAAGGCGGGGTGTAAAGGGATGAACAATGGTGCTGCCTTTGGAAAGACCGAACATATGGTGGGGGAGGGTCGTTTTATTCCTAACACTGATTCATCAGGATTTAGTTATGCTCAGTCTTTCGGTGTTCTTAGAACACCTACTGTGTGCCGGCCGGCCCTTGGAAGCTTCAATCTTATCGGTGCACAGATAACAAAGATAACTGCTCTCTTTAGCCTTTACCGAAGGGTGTTGCCTTGTGATAATAGCTGGGATTTGTGCTTTCTCTGTTGCTATCATAGTCTTTTTCCAACCTCAACCATAATTAGTTTTTTTCTCAAGCCCATTCTTCATTCTCTCCTTTGAAAGCTCATGTGTAATTTGTAGAGAAAAAAAAATTGAAGTATTCTCATAAATTAGATCCATTTGTGTTTGTATTGACTCCCACTCTTAATTTGTTATACCTAAGTTTATGTAAGGCAAGATCTGTACTAGGTGTCTAGGAACCAGTTAAACAAGTATGCAAACCCCAAAGGGCAGCCAAAGGACTACAGAGGCAGAATCGCGGGTGTGCAGAGGTAAAAGGGCTTGCTGCCAGGCCATGGAGGATAGGTGTTGGCTGGGGATGAATGAAAAGATTCTGGCAAGAAGATGGAGCGCTTAAAAACCAGCTGGAGCATTAACCACTTAATTCAAATCTAGATCTCCCGTCCTCAAAGAAGGTTAAATCTTTCTTGCAGAGATTTAGGAATGGCTTATTGAGCCTAAACTGTATCTAACGCCAATGATTAAAAAGCTAGAGATGATTTCCAGATTATACCCTTTCAGGACAAGAAACACGGCTCCCGTGAAAAACTGTCACCACTACCGAGTCTAGACATGGCCTGTATTGTGTTCCCAGAAGACTCCAGACGCCAGAGGTTATTTTCTCAACAACCTATAGGACGTGTGTAGATTATCATAGCGCATTCCTATTACATTTCGGCCTCCTTGACAACGAAGAGTTGCTACTGCTTCATAGAACTACATTACATCTCAAGATTTTTGGGGTTTTTTTTTTGTTTTGTTTGTTTGTTTGTTTTGTTTTTTTCAACCCAGGATGATTGGTTTCTTCATCTCCTAGATGACATTAGGGGATTAAACAGTGGCATAATTTTGTTGAGCTTCCGGCTTGACTTTAGCTTAGGGATAATCTATTGCTGCACATGCTGCACTGATTATGGGCCAGAAGTTAAGTACTCATGTAAAGTTCCCCAAGACAGGTCACTTTTCCTGGCCATAGGTCTAAGTAATCTCCACCAAAATAAATTTAACTTAGTGGGGGGGGGGGAAGTATCCACAGCAAATTGAATTTACAGGACAGCCTCCATCTACAAGAAAATCATTTTCATACCCTGAATTGTCTTGAGACCACCTAAAGAAATCAACAATGTTGTTCCCTGGAGGATCTTCAGCTGACTTCCCCCACCACACACACACACACACACACACACACACACACACACACACACACACACTTTCTTTTCTTTCTAAACTTTCACGTTTTCATTTAATGATTCTTCTGGAATTAGTTCTTTCTCTTTTAAAAACAAACAATTCAGTTGAATGGGGGCTGGATAAGTTCTTCGCTCTACATGACACTAAAGGCCATTAGCCTAAACAGGTGAAAAGGAAATGCATTCGACTTCTTTTGTGGAGATCTGAGCCCTCCTGCGAACTTATCTGCCTCAAGAAGAGCAGGGATTTGGAAGGTGATTTGGCGGCAACTAAAACAAACATAAAGTAAGATAAAGGACTCTTGCTCATCTGCTGGGCACTGGGTGGTGTTTTTAAGCCGAACTAGTCCTTACTTGACAAACGGTACAACTAACCAAGTGAAAATGAGGGAGCACATTTTCATGCAAAATGGGAAGCGTATAAAGGAACAATTCGATGACTGACTATATTCTAAAATATATCACATCACCCAATCAATACGCATTCCCCGTTCTTCTTAAGGTTTAGTGGAAGGAAGGAGGATGGACATCGAGAGCAGTCTGAGACTCTGATATTTAAAGCTAAGAGCTATCGAAGTTCATTGGTTCTCAGCAGAGAAAAGGGCATTTCAGGACTGGAGTTCATCCAATAAATGTCTGTCATTATCCAATGTATCTAAACCATTCTTTGTGGTTTATTTAGCTTACATCATTACTTAGTCATAATTTAGTGAACAAGTTTATGCACCATTTAGTTTAATTAATGAACTTCTCTCAGTCACTGGGTTTATAGGGCTTCAAATATGCTTTTCTGGTCAGTATTTCAGAAGTTAGGATACAGATTCATGATGAGATCCAACACCAGATTTATACCCTGTGGGGTTATGTCCCCAGGCCAAGAAAGCTAGGCTTGGGCAAGAAATATAAAGGGAAAAGAATTCAAAATAATTCTTGAGTCTCTATTGCAGCTTCACCGTTCTAATGTCTTCAGAAGAAGAATGTAAAGCTTGGGGAAGTTAAATTCTTCAAGGTTCATGAGGCCTTAAGTTTTTCAGTAAGAATTGCGAGTCTGTGTGGCACCACAGCTCAGAACTACCTCCCGGCCAGTCTCAGCATGAAAGAAAGTGTGAAAGTCCTATTCAAGGGCTTAGCTCCGAATGTTTGGAGAGAAGCTAGGCATTTGCCATTTTAAAAAGCCTGCAAACGGAGGGCCCACTCTGACTTAACTACTATCTCCAGGTATCAGTCCAAAAGACACTGTGTGGGTAAGAACTGGGGGGGGGGGTGTCTTAGCAAAGGAGAAAGAGAAATAGCACGTGCACAATTTCCCTAAATTTTATGTCCTGTGTTATCTACTTGTAAACTGGGATTAGAATAATGGAGCCTAAATTTATTCCAGTCATGAAGCATTACATAGCAAAGAGGAATTAAAGTTGTCTATTAACTACCCTTTAAACAACAGAGTATCATGCCTAATTGGAGCAACTCTAGTGTCATAGCCCATCTATTTGAAAGTGGAAATATGGAACAGAAGACACAGAGTGAGTGACATGACCGGAGAGGTGCTCAACCTGTCATTGCTGGTTTTGAAGACACCAGGCAGGGATGAGCCAAGCAAGAGGGAAGCCTCCAGAACAGCGGTTCTCAGACTATGGGTCCCAATCCCACAGGAGTGATATATCAGATAGACAATTCATAACAGTAGCAAAATTACAGCTATGAAGTAGCAACGAAATAATTTTACAATCGGGGGGTCACCATAACCTGAGTAGCTGTATTAAAGGGTCACAGCATTAGGAAGGTTGAAAACCACTACTCTGGAAACTAGAAAAGATAATTAAATGTCCTCCCCAAGCTCTGACTAAAAAACACAGCCTTCCTAGCAATTTGACATTCACCCAGTGAAATCCATGTCAAATTTCTAACCTACAGAACTGTAAAGTAATCCATTTGTGTCAACTTAAGCCAGGAAATTTGTAACTGAATAGTACAGCAGCTGCCAGTGTTAGAGCTAAAGTGGAGAAGGAAACCTCCCTTCTCTTCTCTTAGGTTCTATGTCTCCCCTAAGAATTAAAGCAACGTGAAGCAGGACAAATATGTGTAATTGTTTTACATATTTACATATTTCCTTGAGAAGAAAAATGAGGACCCAAAGAGGTGGTTAGGTCCCAAACATTCTGCCTTACACAAAGAATGATAAACTACAGGGATGAGAAAGACAGTTGGACTTTGGCTCTTCCTGTTCGGTGACTAGGGATCCTCTTAGTAAGTTTATACGTGTCCATTACAGTATCAAGTCTCAAGAAATGGGCCAATCAAGTGACTCAAGGGTATGGTGCTTGCCACGAAAGCCATGTAAAGACAGGAACTGACTCTGCAAGGTGGCCTTCTTCTACACACATCTGTCCCAGGCACAGAAACACAATAATAAATACAAATATGTTAAGAATGCTCCCTTCCTGGTGTGATAATCCTCCCTTATCCAAGATTTCCTTCTCCAGGTTTTTGGTTACCTAAAGTAACCCATTGTTCAAAAATACGTACTAGAAAAATGTATTTCGCAAATAATTTGTAGGCTTTCCGTCGTGTGGCATTCTGAATAGCGTGATGCGGTTTTGCGTCGTTGACAGCCTTGCTTCATCCCACCCTGGACATGGCTCATCTGTCAGGTGTACCACAAAGTACCACCCATCTGCCAGACACTTAGCTCAGCTTACTTAGCAAACTGACTCCGGGTCATGGCAAGGAATCAGGGCTCCCTTGCATGAGTTATTAGTCTTTTTAATAGAAGAATTTTAAACGGTCTCTGAAGGAAGTTCAAGGACCATTTTATTAGAGTTTGGAAGAAAAACAAGGCAGGCAAGCTATAAATCTCTGTGACTGCTGGGAGGAAACGGAGAAGAGTGAGTACTGCTTTTTGAATTAGGTTCTAGAAAGCCAT